CTTTTTAGATTTCTGTTCCATTATATATATATAGAATTGCCTGTAGGAATAATTTTGAATTTTGAGAAAATGTCTATGCTTGAAAATGCCACTCAAAAGCTACCAAGATTCTCTCACCTTTTACTACTTCTGAAGTTGGCATGGCATTCTATAACTTTGTATGTCAATACAGTGCTATAGGTTTAGGATGAATGGCAGGAATTTGGAAAGGAATAACAATTCTTCTATATAATAAAAGACTTAAGAAAATATTGAATTCGCAAAGGCATATGTACAAGTTTTTTTCAGTAGTGACTATTAGAGTTATGCAATGCTTTATGATTTGGAAACAGTGCTTCAGAATATGCAGAAGTGTGAATACTAGCACGTATGTATTTCCAGAGTTCTGTGGACAATGCAAAAACTTTCTCAAAGTATTTGAGAACAGTTACTGTAGTACAACAACTAACAGTTGTATTTGTTTTAATGAGTTGCTTGTTCAATTTTTGAAGCACCTTTTCTGGATCAAAATTAAAACATTGCATAAATCCAATAGTTTTACAAATAGAACCACGATGCACATTTTTAAAAGCTGAGGGTCATAATTACTGCCGCAGGAGGATTTGGCAAGAGGCAAGGAAATTATCACTCACAGTGTGGCTCTTGTCTACTTTAAATTGCTTTAAAGCAGCCTTCTTGATAATAATAATAATACTTTAATGTCAGTGCACAACATACGTGCAATGAGATTGGTTGAGCTCCCTGCTGAGTTGGACCTCAGTTCTCAGAATGCTATGCAGTTTGAAGAGTATCATGTAGGTAGATACCAGAATGGAGAGGACAATTAAAAAACAACTGTTCTTCCCTATAGATTTGCTTTGGCCAACAGAGATATAGATCAATTGGCCTCTGATTATTTGATGATGGGGAATGAGCCTAGTTTGATCCAATATCCAGCCATTTCTGAAGAGCATATTATCTGTGAAACAGTATCCTTATGAATTTCTTCTTGTCTTACAGATCAACATAGACTTTCAGACCAAAAGCAGCATTGCTCAGAGCATCGGAGAAGCCACCCACACCTGCTTCAGTGCAGCCCAGAAGAGAGTTTATAGTTTGATGGAGAACAATTCCTACCCTCGCTTCCTAGAATCTGAGTTCTACCAGGGACTGTGCAGAAAGTCACCAATCAGCAGAGACTCTCAGGAGACATGAACTCACAAAGCAGGAAGGGGAAGAAATATCCAAAGAATAAACTTGCCAAATGAAGGAAAGAGGACCATGTTTGTGTCTTTGCTGGCTCAGTGCGTCCGATGAACTGAATGCAGAGGATCTCCTGCCCAAATGGCAATTTACAGTTACTCAGCTGGACGGAACTATGGTTGACTTGGGCAGACTGGCAAGTTGCCCTGTTAATGTGTAAAGGTAACCACACAAACTGCTGGCCAGTTACTAAGGAAAGCTGATTTTCCTCCCCATGTACGTTTCTGTAATGTCTCGTGCAGCATTGGACTGCTGTGGATCACCCAGCTTTGTTCGTGAACCTGGATAATGCTGATGCTCATAAGAAAAACCCCCTGCCCTCTGTGTATATTTAAATAATTAACAAGCTCTAGGACTGTTCCGGCAGGCTGACCTTTTGTGAGACCTGACAAATGCTTGGAAAAAAATTGGCTTTTGTTTCTAAATAGCCAGCAGTATGTAATTCTCGATGTATCAGCTTCCCTATGCAGGTTGTTCCCTGAAGATCATTCAGCTTTGTGCAGAGGGAGCAGATTGCCCCGTGACTGTTACAACAAATACCAATGTTGTGGTATGATTTCATCGAGATAAGAGCAATTGCCTAATTGATTTAACGTGCAGATCATCATGAGGATCTGCTAATTGGCTGGGGACGAATTCAGTCTGGGCATGCACCGTATGGAGAAAAACCCTGGTCTAGAATTCAAATGAATGCTGTGTATGTGTTTGTGTTTATATAGAGAGAGTTTGTTGTACACTCCTGTCAATGTTCAACGTGCTGACTTTAAGGAGAGGCTTCAGTGAAGTCATCTTCTGTTTTGAGAAGCAGATGTTTCAATAAATTATTTTTATTTTATTAAGAACAACCTCTCTTCATTTCTCTGGGGCTGGAGGGGTGGGTGGGGGAGTGGATTGCATAGGCTGAGCTCAACAACCACTCGGTGATTTATCTCAGAGTGATGGGTAGAATCAGAAAGCCACTAGAAGGTGGTTTTACTGCTCCAGTGGTTTGTTTGACCAATAGCCAGCTGAAGCAAAAAGATTGAGCTATTTCCTGTGACAATATATAATGGCAAATCCAGGGTAAAGCACCATAGTTCCATTTTCTATGAAATGTCAAGAAAACACTGGCTGCAGAATCGTCTGTGAACATCACAAAATTTAAAATATGAATAATACCCTGAGGTGGTGGTGGGTTCTGGGGGGTACATCCTGGTACAGCCATACCAGTAGTAGCTGGGAACAGCAGCCACAGTACCAGTATGGTGGCTCGTTTGGCCCACCCGCCCGTCCACATTACTTACCAGTTTTTGAAGCAAATAGGCCAATTGCACACACGTGCGCACTGTGCATTGGTGGCGCAACCTCTGCCGAGCAATGGTGTCACAGGGTGGTGGCGTGTGCATGTGCTCGCAGCGTGTGTGCCCAACTCGGACGCCCGGCCCCATGCGCAGCGTAGCAGAGCTGGCTGGAGAATTCTAGGCGTTGAAGTCCACAAGTCTTAAAGTTGCCAAGTTTGGGAACCACTGTCATAGGGTGACAGTCCTGTCAGGTAATCTGAAAGAAGGGGAGGAATCATTGTCTGCAATTTTCAATTGTCATACAAAGTAAGAGGTATCCTGTTGTTCTAGCAAACAATTGAGAACAAAGATTGGGAGAACACCACTTCTGTTTGCCTGTTCTTGGAGGTGCAGGATGGAAATCTTTAAAGCTTTGTGGAGCAACACAATTAGGGTTCAGGGTTCACTATTTCAGAGTGTGGGAACACCATGACTAATATATCAGATTAGATTCTAATCTTTTACAAAGCATTCCTTTCATAGATGGGCGAGTGGGGGAGGAGAGTGCCTAGAAAGTAATGGAAATTGCTGTGCTTGTATCCCATTTCATCGCATGTAAATATGTGATGTGTGTTTATATCCTATTTCATCACATGTAAATCTTCATTTGCTCCACGAGTGGTACATTCCAGGTGTCAAATTCCCAGTTCGCCAGGAGATGGGCCTAAACCTTGGTCAGTGCAGAAAGATCTTGTGTACTAAAACTGATTTCTCATTGAGCTACTTTGGGTTGAAATAGAGATTTTTATTTTTAAAAAGTCTCTCATAATATGTTTGTGTAATTCTCAACACTGAGACACCGAGACATATCCTAAACAGGCGACTTTAAAATGTACGGACTTAAACTCCCAACATTGCCCAACCGTAATACTCTTCTGAGGTTGAAAAACAGTGACCTAAATTTCAACCAAGTTTTTTTTCCCTTCTGTGATTGGAAGCAACAAAGGAGAAAGGTGTGGTTTAAGCCTCTTAATACCATGGATTTTCTAGGCTTTTTAAAAGTTATGCTCCTGAAATTTTCAGCCTCCTCAAAAATCACTAGAAACCACTAAGATGGGGAAAGTTATTCTCTTTTAATTTATTTTTCTTGCTACTTTGATAAATGGACATGTTATTTCCCTACAAAATGTCATCTTGAGCCATACTGCTGTTATGGAACTATATTCCATAACAGCAGTATTGGCAACTAACAGGGCCACTTAGAAATTAGACTTGTCCCCCATTTGAAAAGACATACATCTAATTATTTCCATAAAACAAGATATAGATTTGCATTCTTTAATAAGGAATGACAAAAACATCCCCAAAACATTTAGCAATACTGCATTCTGCTAATAATAATACATATTATTAAAGCATATGATTTGACACTCCATATCACCAGAGTGCAAGCCACATTGTTAGGGATTGTTAACATAAGAACTTGTATGGTAAATAAATCAAAGTTTTAATCAGATTGGCAAAGAGATTCAAAACCTTTCCATTTTACTATCTGTTATACTCCTAAACTATTTCAATTTTTAGCTATAAATATAGACTTGGTACTCCATGATTATAAATCCAATCCATAAGCATTAAAATGGACTAAGCTATATTAATAAATCATAGCTAAATCCATATATAGTATATTGTTCTGACCCCCCTTCTTCGCTCGTTCACAGACGACAGTCAGACAGAACTTCAAAGGAAATATATTTATCAGTCCTGGCTCAA